TAATATTTATACCACAATTAGAAAAATTAATCGAATAAAATAATCCAAAATACGCATTCGTCAAATCAAAATAACAAGAAACCTGCTTCAAAGATTTTCCAGCACCCTCATATCAAAAATCTTTCACAATATTTTACCCCGGACCTAACCTCGACCACAACTGCCCACTCCCAATACATTTAAAGTACCATCATTTAATTTATCGTTCCGTTTTCAAAATGACAATTTTTAACAACCGGCGACGACTACGACTACGACGAGGCCATATAATAAGCTTCAGAACAATTTCACATTCGACACTGTTGCTCTGCTACTTTCTGTCCCAAAATTTCGATATCGGCGTCCCGCTCTCGCCCTCATGTCTAGCCGCGAGAGCGAAAGGGACGGATACGTCTGCCGGATAAGACGACGATTGCCGGCGTTTTGGGTAATTCGAGGGATCGAAGAATCAGTCGGACTTCTGACTTTGGAGAGGAAGGCTGTGTTTGGTTTTTGGGGAATTGTAATAAAACGTGGTAAAGATGAAATAAAAGTGTTGAATGAAAATTAAATGTGCCTAAAAGTAGTGTTTTGATGGAGATGATAATGTACGTGATTATAATGTGAAAGACTTTGCACAAACGCAATTTAAAAAGTAAATATTTATTTTACCTTTATTCTTTTACCTGACAGTGTAATGTAATGTAATGGATTGGTGTTCATGTTGAAGAACAATAAAGTTGTTGAATTGCATTAAATTTACACTAAGTTTATATAAATTTACCAAAATGCACATAAACGTGTTCCAACTTCAATATTAACCCTTTCCACTCGCGAATTGCAATTTTTTTTAATTACTTTATTTGTTACAACTGCAAAAATAATTTGTATTTTGAAACCAGGGCGGCGACGTTCGAATGGAAAGGTTTAAATCACTTTCCACAATTAATTTGATTTGTAATGAGTTATAGTAATCACAAAAAATCGAAAATGAAATTTTTATACATCTCTACGTTTCAAAGGTTTCTGAACATTTTGGCATACTTTAGAAAAAATTGATGTGTGTGTGTATGTGTGTGTATGTGTGTGCATTTGTGTGTGTGTGTATTTGTGTGTGTGTGAGTGCGGATACAATTTTTCGTCCACGATTTCGAGAACACGGATCAACCGATTTCAATGATTTAAAAAACATTTCATTTCGTGAAGAAATTGTAAAATTATAAAACGAGTTTTTGAGAGAACGAAGCGTTCGATTTGAATGATTCAAAAAACATTCAATTTGTAATGATTAGGAGAAGTGGTGATTAGATTTTGGCAAAGGCAGGTCCAGCCACTTCGAAGGTACAGAGCTAAATGTGCAAAAATGGCAGTTTTTGAGAGGACTAAGCATCCGATTTGAATAATTCAAAAAACTTTCGTTTTGTATTGACAAAACTATTGCTTTCTTTATATATCCTTACGTTTCAGAGGTTTCTGACCATTTTAGCATACCTTAGAAAAATTGATATGTGCGTGCATGTGTGTGTGTGTTTGTGTGCGGATACAATTTTTCGTCCACGATTTTGAGAACACGGATCAACCGATTTGAATAATTCAAAAAACATTCGATTTTTATAAGGAGACGTGCTAATTAGATTTTGGCAAAGGCAGGTAGAGCCGTTTTGAAGATACGAGGCAAAAAGTGCCAAAATAGTAACTCAGTTTTTAAGAGAACGGAGCGTCCGATTTGAATGATTCAAAAAAACTTTCACCTTGTGTTGACAAAATAATTGATTTTTTTAGAATACCCTTACGTTTTAAAGGTTTCTGAACACTTTGGCATACCTTAGAAAAAATTGATGTGTGTGTGCATCAACCGATTTGAATAATTCAAAAAACATTCAATTCGTATTAATAAGGAAACGTGCTGATTAGTTTTTTGCAAAGACAGGTCTAGACGTTTCAGAGATGCGCGGCAAAAATTGCCAAAAACGTAACTCAGTTTTTGAGAGAACGGAGCGTCTGATTTGAATAATTCAAAAAACATTTTACTTGTATTGACAAAATAAAAAACTGATTAAATTTTTAGAAAAGCAATATCGTTTAAAAATTTAAATTTTCGGTACGGGAAGTTCTAGCAATTTGCCTTAAGACCATAAATTTGCCTTAAGACGATGCCATACACTACTAGTTTCATTCTTGTGTTGATAGTTAAAGAAAAAAAACTGTCAAGGTTTACATTTGTAGTAAATTCACACTGAATTAGTATAAATTTACCAAATCACACATAAACATGTTTTAATCTTGAAACATAAATAATAATTTGTATATCCATCCATAAATTTTCCGCTATTTTATTTATATTTCATATTTTATTTTTGTGTTGACAGTTACGAAGTTTTTGGCGTCCATGTTGAAGAAAAACTTTGTGTTTTGATATTTACACAAAACTTATGTAAATTTACAAAAAATACACATAAATAAGTTTTAAACTAAAACTATAACCAAAAAAGTGCTAAAAACAGTTTTAAGTATTGGTTTTTGTTTAAATAAAAGTTTATAAACCGACTTGAAGTATTTGACAGTTTAAAAAACTGACATGAAGTTCGTGCAAGTTACAAAATTGCTAAATTGAAAAAAGAACAAATTTATTAATAACAACTTTATTAAACAATAATTAAGTTAAAACAATTCAATTATGTGTGCAAATTGTGTTCTTTAACTCCAAAATGATTTAAATACTATTTTTTACATTTTTATTAAATTTGTTGTAAATTTTTGACGTTTAACGTTTTCAAGATGGAACCGGGTTATGACAATTTTAAATTTGGGACTAACTTGTGAAAAACGTCAAAAAATAAGTGTTATATAACAATAATTATAAAACCTGTGATTATTTATCAATAATTAAAATACAACATATACGAGTATAAACCGGTTGTTATTTTGATTCAAGTACTTTTTATTTACAATGTGTGCTGTCTATTAACAAAGTGCAATTTTTAATGATTAAGTGTACAATTGACTTTGTTTTAATTATTGAACTTTGTTTCTCAATTAATGGTTCAAGATAATTGTTTTCCAATTAATTTGCTGCATTCAAGATATGATAGATTTGAAGAATGTTCAAAGATTCAAGTTTGCATCAAAGGTTAGTAATTGTTGAATTAGAGGTTATTTTTTTAAAAAAAAATGTAATACTCATAATTATATACTGTATCTTATATTATTTTAATTTCTGGCACATCTCAGGTGATTTTTGGCAATAATAATGTAGACATTTCATTTTTCTTATTCATAATCATGAATCTATTATACACATTCTAATATTGTCTAGGCTCATAAGTGAATTGAAATTTTTGGCAGATAACAGTTTTCATTTGTATTCAATGCCAAAGAATGCCTCAAATATTTTCAATGTCAAACAATGACATGTCGTGTTTTGCAATTTTTTCCATTTATTTTTACAACCTAACTATATTTCTATAAATCAAAAAAACTTTAAAAATTCGCTTAACAAACTTCAGAAAGATTTATCAAAATCCGAATAATCGTTCAGGAGGAGTATATTCACATACATCGTTATCGAAGAATTTTATATATAATATATATATATATATATATATATATATATATATGTATATATATATGTATATTATATATAAAATATATCTTATATATAAAATTTTTCTGTAATGATGCATGTAAATATACTCCTCCTAAACGATTGTTCGGATTTTGGTAAATCTTTCTGAAGTTTGTCAAAGGATTTTTTTAGGATGTATGTGATTATAAAAATATAGTAATATTGTAGAAATAAATGCAAAAAATTGCAAAAAACGATATATATATATATATATATATATTTAAATAAATAAATAAAATAGGTACTATTATTGTCCGAATGATTTTTTTTAAATTATTTTTTGTTCAGAAATTTTTTGACTACTTTTTTAGAATAAAATACCTTCGAAATCTTATTTTGGTCTATTATATTGTTCTTACTATCTAAAATTAATACATATAATAGATTTGGCTAATTAATAATTTAACTATTATAAATCTAGTGTACAAAAAAATTTGGAAATAATTCCATCTGTTTCAATTGTAATTTGGAATATTTCAAATATTTTCATTTGCAAGAATTTTAATTGATAAATTTCGTTTAATTGTTATAAATAAATGAATGAATTCTTCTTTTGTTATGTTATAAATTAATAGAATGGTAATAATTTTACAGGACCGTATTTGGAAATTACCTTAAATAATCATGTCATTTCTTTAAATGTCTTAATATTCATTGCATTTTTTAAGTATTTATTTAAAAATTGCTAAATCTTGTATGCTTTGCAGAACCAAATTCCGTTATTTACTAATTAAAATAATTACTCACATTAATAAAAAACATATATTTCAGTATACTAGGATATAAAAAAAATTATATATTTTTTTTAAATATTTTGATTGCAATTACTAAATATTTATATTAAAAATATAAGTTTTTTCATACTGTACAGAACTAAATTCAAATTTTTTAAAATTATGATCAGTAAATTAATAGCTCATATTAATAAAAGATTAATTATTCAGTATAATCGTGACTTTAAAAAAAACATTTTATATTTATTTAAAAATATTTTCATTGTATTTTTTAAATATTTATTTAAAAAATATAAGTTCTTGCATCCTTTCAGAATCAAATTCGTTTTTTTAAGTAAAATTAGTAAATTAATTTCACATTAATCTCATTAATAAATACAAAAATTATTTATTCAGTATAATCGAGATTTTAACAAATAAATTTTATACTTTACAATTTCTGAGTATTTATCTAAATAATATTAATATTAATAGTTTTTGTATACTTTGAGGACCAAATTCGATTTTCATTAAAGTTAGTAAATTAATAACTCACATTAAACAGTGTAAATATGATAATAAACAATACGTTAAAAGATTAATAATTTAACTGGGTGGGTCTGCATTTAAAAATTTATATAATGTAATTATATTAAATTTATGTGATGTAATTAATAAACGAATTAGCCATTACTTATTTAAAAATTCATAATAAAAATAA